ATGCATTGCAGAGCAGCACACTGAAAGGGCCCTGGGATGCTGTCTTTACCATGGTCAAAGCAGCCAGGCTGGTCCTGCCTCCACCCCGCCTTTCAAGCTATTGTGGATGCAGCTTTCAAAGCTAAACTCCCCAGTGTTTATGAGTCATTTCCGTGAGGAACAAACACATGGCCACCTGGGTAGAAACCATACATGCTGTGTTATTTTGATTCCGAGTTGCTGCTGAATCTGACCTCGGGTTTTCCTTATGTTTCCACAAGACCAGCCTGCAGTCAACAGTCCTCATGACAACAAACTGGGATACTGACCTTCACTGTAGGGATGCCTCCTTAGATAGAGTCTGCTGCTGTTTGGAACTGCCTCTTGACCAGATGGCCCAAAAACAATTGTTCTCAAGCTTCTTTGGGTGAGGACACCGCAGTACATTTTAAATCATTGAGGACCACAAAGAACCTTTGTTAATGGGTTATATCCTTTGGTATACTGGTGTCGGCTTGTACCCACTCATAAGTTCAGTGTTCAGGAAGTTTTCAAGCCAACCGTTGAACTGTTGAAAGCTTGGCAATGGAAGCAATGCTGACAATACTGCAGATGGCATATGCTATAAATCAGGGCTAAGAAACTGAGTTTATTGGCACACTACTGACTTTATCCAGTGATGTTTTCCATTCTTGACATTAAAATGGAGAGGCTTTTTTTTGTGTGTGTGCAGCACTGGGGTTTGAACTCAGGGCCTCAGTTTTGCTAGGCAGGCTCTCTATCGCTTGAGGCACTCCACCAGCCCTGTTTTGTGTTGGATGTTTTTGAGATAGGGTCTCATGAACAGGCTGGCTTCAAACCGTGATCCTCCTGATCTCTGCCTCCCAAGTAGCTACATATGTCATGTAGCCTCTGGAAAACTCGACCGTACAATTGTGAAAGCATCAGACCAAAGAGACAATGTCTTAGTGGGTTTTTTCTTTTTTTTTTCAGTACTGGAGTTTGAACTCAGCGCTGTGCCCTCAGTCCTTTTGCTTTAGTTTGTTTTTCAGATCAGGTGTTGTGCTTTTGCCTGGACTGGGCTCGGACCGTGAATCCTCCTGTCTCCCGCCTCCTGAGTAGCCGACTTTACAGGTGGTGGGGATCACCATGCTCAGTTATCTTAGTGTTTCAACATAGTTTTCACCTCACAGATCTTCTGAAAGAGTTCAGGGTCTCCGAGAATCATCTGCATTGGGGCATTTCTTCTCTTTTCTCAGATTGCATCTCAGTTAACTGCACCTTGTTCGTAAAACACAACTGGCTTTTCTCTTTGGTCAATTCTCCTCATATACATTTGGCTTAGTAATTTTGAAAGGCATGGACATACAGCATAGTAATGATGCCAACAAATTACTCTTGGTGCCCCTTAGTTTTCACTATGGCTCCAGGGTAAAGATAAGCTAGCTATGAAAGGCCCCAGGTCTGACACTTACAAAGCTGGGTCATAGACACTGCTCAGCGTTTTCCACTTGCTTCTGGAACTCCAGGCTTCCTCAAGGACATGCTGACTGTTTTCTTAATTCCTTAAATTTAGAAGTGTAACCTAAAATTTTCCAACCGTGTATTTAACACAAGTATTCCATTTCCTCAAAATGCTATTTTTGACTTGGAAAAAAGCAAATCTTTTTGTGTTAATAAAATTCAACTGTGCTTTTTGAACTCAAATGTATTTTGAAAAATAATAATAGAAGAGTTTAAAGATCACTTTGTGGTTACAGCCAGGATCCTATTTCTAGGGCCATGAGCTGAGGTGACCATCTTACTTCACGTACTGTGCCCGTGGCCTCAAAAACTTAACAAGCTCGTGTGAAGAAGTCTCTGTAACAGAATTCTTGTTTAGCTGAAATTATTTTTATATTGACTGTGAATCCAGAAACACTGTATTGAAAACTTTTTATTGATTTTCAACTCTCAGAGGTTGAGAGCCATTTTGCTTTAAATTTCCCCTGGTCCCTTCTGCAAAGGATTGTCACTCAGAGGCAGAGGAGCCCACAGGCCGACATCACAGGTTTCCTCCCTGCTCTGACATTTAATTTGTTTCTCTTTCATTGGGGAAGAACTGTAGACACTACTCATGATGCTTATAAGCCAGGAATCTGATTATATTTTCAACGTTATAATCCTGAATTTTCCTAAAAAAGAGAATAACAAACCAGAAAGCTAACAACTCCATGCCTTTGCAGGAATTGTGCCATATAGTTTTATTAATTTATTTTTTAAATTTCTAAGTCTCCAATTGTTCTATCAGATCCACCCTTCATGTCCAAGAAAGTTGATCTTTATGGACTAAATCATTCAGTTTCCCTTGGCCTCTGGCTTTAGGGTTAAGATCAGGAGCAATGTTTTCTCTCATAGGTGGAATTTAAAGGGGCAGGGAAAGAACATGAAAATAAAAGGGGGATGTGGAGAGGGCAAAAAATGATCAAGGTACATCATATATATGTTTATATATATGTATGTATGTATGTATGTATGTATGTAAATGTCATAACGAAACCCATTACTTTGTGTAATTAATACGTGATTAAAAAAACGATCCTCCATTACATCAGAAGGTGGTGGAGGGAAGGTCAGCGTATTCCTCCCTCCAGCCCTCAGAGTCTGGGGTGGTAATGAGACAGGCTAGTTAGGGGAAAGTTCAGGCTTTTAAAAACCATACAGCCTGATTTAGAGAAACTTCCTTCCCCAATTCCCAACCGTCTCCTCTGAACCCAGAGATCCATTTCAATTGCAAATCCTTTGTTAAGTCAGAGTGGAAATTTCCTGCTGCATGAACAGGGGACCTGAGAATTAGCACAAGGGCACAGGAATATGCATGAGTCCACCCAGATCCTCCCCCTGGCCCAAAGGCCACCAGAGACAGGGAGTCACAGGGATTCTCTCCCCACTTCCAAGTTAAGGCTGATATAAAAACCTCCTGAGATAAAATTCTGCCCTTTTTTCCCCCTGCACATGGTGCCTCCATTCTACCTGGCAGAGACCCCAATTATAATCTCCTTGCCCTTTCCTAATACAGCTCCATATTTCTCTCACTATATCCACGTGTTCTGTTGGATTCCTCATCAGAGCGCAAGGGCCAAATTCTGATTAGAGTCATCAAGAGGACAGCAATGGTTTTCCCGTCAGTCACTGCTTGTTCCCCTAGCCCCATCTACACCTCTGCAAATCCCGCTCACTACGAGCTCTTCAGTTAAACCCTAAAGTGTGCTGTCCTGCCACAGCCCCAAAGATGCAATAATAACCCACTCCAAATAGACACCTAGCACATTTTCAGTGTTTATTAATATAGGTTATATTATCACTTTTTAATAAGAGTGAACATAAAAAGAGTGAAACAATATAAGTACAGTAATATTAGTTATATTAAGCCAGAGGTAATTTAATATGTAGACTGAATAAACAAGGACAGTAAATCTCCAGTGGTTCAGATAAAGTGAGTTTAGTATCTAATAAAATCAGTGCTACCTTCTACTTACAATAATTATATTACTTTTGTCTAAAGTACTCTATGATATTTGGAAGTACTTTGCTCTTGTAAATAGATAAACGTTTTACCATGTAACTTTCCCACTTTTTTATGTTGTTTAAAATGACACCATTTTCCTTTCATCAGGAAAAAGAGAGATAATTCAACCCAATTTTCAAATTACTTTGCCAAACTCAAACATTTCTATGCTCGATACTTACCACAGGGTTAAACAAAAGTTTTCAAATCATCTCATTAACTCTTAAGGAAAGTGAATGAAAACTAACTTTCCTAGGTTTCAATGTCAATTCCACTTTCTTCTGTTATTTCTAACCACAGACAGACATGATGCTTAAAAGAAAACTTGACTTGAGAAACTTATGGAGGAAAACATTTATAAATAAAGTGTCCAATTAATGCAGACTGAAGGGTTTGTTTTTTAAAAACTACATCCTGTATTATGTTTTCATTTTATGTTATAACCACAGGAAGCAGAATCCCAAATATGCAGGGTTGTTTAGCTGACAGGCTAAAATACGGCATTATCTGTAAAAATGCTTTATAGAATGGCACATATTTACATTGCATCACCTCTACTTGGCTCTTGTGAGGGCAGGTCTCAGTCTTATTCCACTCTGTAGGCCTGGCGCCCATCAGAGCACCCGGGGTACATGGGGCACTTCTGCGTGAAAGCCAGCCGTGCAGGACGGCTACTTTCTCAGTTCCTAAGATGGACAGAGATGTCTTTCATAGTTACTATCTCCCAGGATGTCACATCCTGTCTTGGTGGTTTCTAATTAATGTAATCAGTTCACAGCCAACCCGTGGGGGCCCCAGGAGGATAGAGTGAGTGTGGTGGCTTCAATCTCACTGCTGTCTGGGAGGCTCAGCTGGGGGGTTTCTGGCCATCGTGCAGCTCTGCCATGGACCTGCTATTTGGAGTCTTCCATCGGGTGGGAGCGAGCAGCTCTTGGGGTGGACTGCTCTGAAAGGAAGCCTGTGGTCCTAATGGCTCTTATGCTAAGTTTACTAATACAGTGTGCAAAATGGAGAAAATGCTACCCACACCACTTTTTTTTTTTTTGGCAGTACTGGGGTTTGAACTTTCGGCCTCACAACTTGCTAGGCAGGTATTCTACCACTTGGGTTTTTCATCTGTTTTGATAATTTTAATTTTGATGTTTAAACTGAAAAACACTAGAACTTTCTCTACCCATTTCATCCTTCCATAACTTAAACACTGCTGTCAAAGAGTTTCAAAGCAAATGTATTTGCAAAAGTTTAAGTCCAAACTATGGACTCCTTCACTACTGCTGGACATCTTCAGATGTTTGGGGTTGACCTCAGACTTTACATATTAAGTCAGAGAATCAAAGATTATGTCCACAATTGCTGGGGAAAAACAGAGGGTTTCAAAGTGCCTATTCCATACTGCCCTGCAAATCATACATGTGTGTGCATACAACATACAAATATAAAGTCACCTCCATACATAACAAAGTGACATTCAGTTACTATGGTAGCACTGATGAAACTCCCTTAAAATAACATTGTCCTCTAGTCTTCTACTCCTGTTCTCTTTTCTGGTAATTAACCAGTCGATGGGTTTGATGGCTTTTGTAAGAAGCATGCATGCAAATCAGACACGTGTTGTTTTAGGTGGTGAAGTTGTGCCAGGGACTAACAGAATCCCCAGGTGACTCACTTTTTCAGCCAGCAGTGGTCCCTTTTCTTAGGTTAGCAGCTTTCTGTATATGCTATTATTCACATTACTAGAGCAGGTGTCCATTTTACTCGGCATCAGCTGGCCACTGCTGTTGTAACTGTTGGGGTCGGAACTTTCTCTGCAGCACAAGATGCTGTAGAGGTGCCTCTGGCACTCGGAAGAAGCGTAGTAGTAAATCAAGGGGTCGATGCAACAGCTCACGCTGCTGACACAGACGCAGAGGAGGTAAGCGAAGTAGGCGGCCTCTGTGGCGGGACTGTGAGAGAGGAACAGGTAATGCATCACCAGGAGGACATTGGTGGGACCAAAGCAGATGATGAAGATGCAGAAAACGGCAGCGGACAGGAACAAAGCCCGGGATTTCTTGCTCCGGTTGGCGACTGCGGAAGAGCTAAGACATCGGATGATAGACACATAGCACACTGTGGAAATGATCAAGGGCACAAAAAAGAAGACCGCCGAGAAGGCCGAGAAGTAATAGGCATAAAAGCCTTCCAGCAGGGTTTCGTTGAGGACATCGTGACAGGTGGTGATGTTGAGCCCGGGACCTGGATAGTCTGCTCCTTGAGAAGAAGGGGAACCACCCCCATGATGGCCATGGCCCAGATGGCCAGGCAGGTGAAGGAAGCCCTTCCCAGGGTGCGCCAGGACAGGGACTGGATGGGGTACACCACAGCCAGGAAGCGGTCAATGCTTATGACCGTCATAAGCATGATGGACGCGTACATATTGCAGTAAAACGCTGCAGTGGCGAAGCGACACATCTCGGAGCCGAATTTCCAATCACTGCCCGAAAAGTAATAGCTGATTTTAAACGGAAGCACAGACACAAACAACACGTCCGCTGTGGCCAGGTGCAGCATGTACACCACAGCCGGCTTCTTGACCTTCATTTTCAAGATGAACACAGCGATGGCCAGGATGTTGAGGGGAAGGCTGACCACAAACACACTGGTGTAAACAGAGGGGATAAAGACAGTCAGCCAGGGGCTGGTCAGGTATCCCGAGGCGTCTTTCGAGATGAATGCAGGGGGTGGTTTTTGAACAGGATTGCTTTTATTGGAAGACATCAATCTGTTTTCAGCTAACACACTTTCGTTTTTCTCTTCATTCTCGTCCAGTGGGAATACTTCAAATTTATTAGCATCAGAATTCCTGAGAAAAAAGGACCGGGGCATCACAGTAGCATTTGTTGCTCTTGGCTCTGAAAAATAAAAATTAAGAAAGGAATTTATTTAAAAAGGCAAAAGAGAAGTGTAGAAAGAACATTTTACTTCCATTTGTTTTTTGTGGTCTTCTTAAGGGATGTGGATGGGAAAGACCATGTCATGCCCAGAGAGATGACAAACTGCATTAGAGAGTAAACTAACTCAAAATATTGTGCAACATTCTGTTTTGACATGGCAAACACTTAAAATTCTGCTCCTTGAAGGGACAAAGGTGAAGTACACCCTTTCGGACATCTAGCCTGCAGACCTCAGGAAAGGCTGAGTGCCCAACATCAAGGATGCTTTACCCACTGTCTACGCATATGAATCCCTCCCAGAGTCTGTGGCTTTTCTTTCCTCCACAAGCTTCCACGTGCATCTTCTCTTTTCTTTTTTCTTCTTTTCTCCTTCTTTGGCAGTACTGGGCCTCCCACTTGGTAAGCAGGCACCCCACTGCTTGAGTCACTCTGCCAGCCCTTTCTGCACTGGTTAACTTTTGGGATGGGGTTTTGTTTTATGTCTGAGCCAGTCTGGCCTGTGATCCTCCTATCTGTGCTTTCCTGTGTAGCTGGGATGACAGGCACAGGACCCAACAGCAGCCATTGATTGAGATGAGGTCTTATGAACTGGTCTTAAACCTCCATGTTCCCAGTCTCTGCTCCCCGAGAGTGAGGATTATAGCAGTGAGTCACCGTGCCCAGCTCCATTTCTATATTTTCTCCAGCTAGTTTGTACCGCCTATGAAACTCACCCTGCCCATCTCCCATGGAAAAATCCATACAGAAAGTGGAAGGGAATTGTTAAAGCAGGCAGCATATTCAGAGTTGGACCCAAGACTCCCAATCCTATGACCATTGTAGTTTTCCTCCACGATCTTTAATTTGGTCACATACTAGAATGTTCCAAATCTCTAACTTATCTGCATCTAAACCACAGTCCCTCACGTGATCTCCTAACATAACCAAAACATACCTATTACCTCAGCCGTCATCCTGCCTCCTTCCTGAGCAGATGTTCTCAGCCACTTATGCCAGGCCACAGACTTGTCTTTGTTCTAGACAAACCAGGCTCTTTGGAGTATCAACCAGATGTCAAAATAAAGGTACGGGATGTACACTACACTTCTTCCTTTTATCACTCTCTTACATTCTCTCTCTCAACATATGAAATATTAATTGGAGAATATTAACAAGCAGTGGGCAGAATGCAATCAGCTTTCACTTCCAAAGAGCTTTGCTACACTTCTGCCATGGAGGAGACCAGGACAAAGAGCCTTTGTCGGGTATGGGGAGGCTGAGCCAGAGAGGATCATGGCAGAAAAAGGCAAGGTCTCTGTTTCTGGGAGTGCTCAGTCAAGGCCGGCCATGCAGGTCTTTTGGAGTGATGCTAGAGGAGTTGCAAACTGGCTGGAAACTGGACAAGCACAGTGGGTTTTTTAACTTCTGGTTTTGTGTTTCAGCAGTGAATCTGCTACTCAAACTGCAAGCTTGCAGTTTTTCCTGCAAGCACAAACTGAGCCAGAGATGCACAAGGCAACAGAAGAGCCAGTTCTGCTTCTGCTGTGGCTCTGCAGGGTCCCACCAGATCCAACCTTTCCTTAGGTAAAAATTATAGGCTCTGCACCCCTTCCCTGCCCACCCCCTCAATGGCTTGAAGGCATTTAGGTTTACCAATATGGTAGCAGGAGAGAGTAGAGATAGAGATGGGTGAATCTTGGAAGAAAAGATTATATCAGGTACTTGCTTTTAGTGACTTTTAGCTTTCGAGATGGCCAAAGCCAGTGTCTGTGACATTGTGAAATACGTTCTTGGTCCTCCTTCCAGCCACTGGCATATAGCCACTAAGATTTGTGAAATGTCTAAGAGTGACAAGAATGTCTTTTGTATGTTAATGACCTGACCAGTGGTTAGTGGTCCCTAGATAGTTTCAGTACTAGGGCTGGTCACAGGAAAGATCAAAGTTAGCTAGAGGGGAAAGCCATGGAGCTCCATTACCCCTTCTGGCCTATCTTGCTCTAAGCAAGTCTTCCATCCAGTTATTCATCACTCACCTTTGTAATACTCTTTCTAATAAACGGAGAAACATAGGAAAAAGTGTTTCCCTGAGTTCCTTGAGCCACTGTAGCAAATAAATGGAAAAATGAAGAGGAGACCATGGGAAACCCCATTATGTAGTTGGGTAATCAGAAGTTCTGGAGGCCCAGACTTGTGACTGGTGCCTGAAATGGGAGACAGTCCTGGGGAATCGGATTCTACATTCAGGTAGACAGTGTCGGGTTGAGTAAGTTGGAGGATACCTAGATGGTATCTGCTGAGCATGTACCACAGGACTGGCTGTGCGGTGTATGAGGGAACAATTTCACATATCAGTTGTCAGAAGCACTGAGTAAGTGCTGTGTAAGAGAGTAGGGAAAAACAACAGTGCCAAAAAAGTTGACTGAAACTCATAGAGAAAACTTATAGTCTACATGGTCTGAAGATCCAGAGGAGAGAGTTCTGTGAGCCACTCTAACAAATTAATCAGGCCATGGGAAGCCCACTACCGAGAAATTTCATAGTCACTGGAAAGTTAGGAGAGAATCTCAGAAAGGAAAAAGCCAGAGAGAGGGAGCCCTAAATTCTTGGCTGACCCTTAATCATGCATGTGTGTAGGGTAGATGCAAAGTACTTCTGCTTAAGTGAAAAGAACTGATGTGATATTTGAACTTCTAAAGAGTCTGTAGTTTGGGTCCATCCAAATTAATTTACTGCTAAGGCAAAAGCTCTTTGAAGGAACATAATGAAATTCAGAATCTTCACAATACAATAACCAGGATACAATCTGAAATCATTTGATATAAAAGTTGAGAAGTTCTAACCAGCTTTAACACCTGTTAGATAAAAATAAGTTCCTTCATTCCTTATCTCATACCACACACAAAATCAACACAAAATGGATTAAAGACTTCAACCTCAGACCTGAAACTATGAAATGACCAAAAGAAAATAAAGGAAAAGCTCCATGACATTGTTCTGGACAGTTAAGTTTTTGGATATGACACCCAAAGCACAGCTAACAAAAAGAGAACAAGACAAATGGAATTACATTAGCCTAAAAATCCCTTTCCTTCTGCACAGCAAAGAAAACAATCAATGGTGAAGAGAAATACGGAAAAGGAGAAAAATATTTGCAAATCATACTCTTGGAAAGGGATTACTATCTGAGGAAGTCAATCCACATAATAGCAAGAAAATAAATAGCCCAACAGACAAACAGGGGAAGGAATTAAATAGTCATTTCTCCAAAGATGACAGTAAAATAGCCAACACGTATAGGAAAAAATACTCAACATTACTAAGCATCAGAGAACTATAAAATAAAACTACAATGAGATATTCCTCCCACTTCATCCTTGTTAGAATGGCTATTATGAAAAAACAAAAGGTAACAAATATTGGTAAAGATATAGAGAAAAGGGAACCCTTGTACACTATTGATGGGAATGTAAATTAGCACAGACATCATGGAAAGGTTTCTCAAAAAAATAAAAACAGAACTGCTATACATTTCACCAACCCTACTACTGAGCATATATCAGAAGAAAATGAAATCAGTATGTCGAAGAGATACTGCACTCCCATGTTCACGTCAGCATCATTCACAATAGCTGTGATATGGAATTCACCTGTGTCTATTGGCAGAAGAATGAGTAAAGAAAATGTGGTGAATGTACGCAATGGCATACTAGTAAGCCTTTAGAAAAAGAAAATTATGTCATTTAGGACAATGTAGACAAACTTGGAGGACATTATGTTCAGTGAAATAAGCCAGGCACAGAAAGACAAATGCTGTGTGATGTCACTTACAGGTAGAATCTAAAAAGGTTAAAACTCACAGAAGCTGAGAGAAATGGTGGTTACCAAGGCTGAAGGATGGGGTACACAGGGGAGGGAGGGTGTTGGGAACACATTGGTCAAAAGATACAAAATTTCAGTTTGACAGGAAGACTAAGTTCAAGAGTCCTATTGTATAACATGGTGTCTCATCCATGAAATGTATTGTATACAAGAAAACTGCTAAGTGACTAAATTTTAAGCATTTTCACTACAAAAAATAAGTATGGCATGAATATATACAGTAATTAGCTTGATTTCACCATGCTACAATGTCTGTGTGTTTCAAAACATCAATTATAGAATTATTATACATATATATTCAATTAAAAAAAGAAGAATCAGTAAAGTGTGACCCATTCTCATGCAAAAAGCAGTGAATGGAAGCCCAATGTGGAGATGGCCCAAATGCTGAAATGAGCAGGTAAGGATTTTAAAGGACGCACTCCAACTATGCTTAATGAGGAAAGGAAAAGATTCCACTGAAATAATGAAAACTTAGGAAAACTCAGCAAAGAATAACAAGTGGAAATTCTATAAGTAGAAAATCAAATACAGTATGTTGACACCAATTTCCAAAGTGAAGAGCAAAGCTGGACTAATATCACTTAGAGACTACAGACTGGCAGTGAGAGGCTGGGGTCAAACCATCTCAGTGACGTCATGATTGAGTGAAGGGGCCACCTGGCAGATTTGTCACAAGGAAAGGCCAAATGTTTCCAGAGACAAGTCTCTGAGGACATATACGTGTCTGGATTGTTCCTCTTAAAACTCAGATCAGAATTATTAAAATGGGATTCATAACCTATCTGGATACAGATCTGGCAGCTGAGCAACCCATGTGAAGTAGGTCATGCACCCACTTTGGAAATCATGGAAACTATTATTAATTCCTTTCCCTCCCATGTCCACGTAGCATTTGCTTTCAGGCCTGACGGTTTGCTTCACTCAACTACTTTAAGTTAAAAATGGAACCTAAGTTCTTCTTCCTCTTATTTTTCCATATATGGGGACATTAAAACAGGCATAAAAGTATTTAGCTTTAGAGTTTCAGATCTGTAAGTCAAAAACTTCAAACTTACAACCTTTTTCCAAATATATCACTTTCTTCATTTTTGTGATAC